TACAGCGCTTGCTCTACAGTGGGCACAAACGTCGTCATTGCCTCAACTTTCAAGCGGTCACTGCACCTGACGGCTTGTGTGTGCACTTCTAGGGGGCAATTGAAGGCTCTCGCCATGACACGACTCTGCTTCGCTTGAGCAAGCTGGAATCGTATTTGGACGGAAATCGCAGTATTTTCGCTGGATTTTTGATGTATGGCGACCCAGCGTACGGTGTGCTGGATTGGATTTGCTCGGAATACAAAGGACACGAGCTGGACGCCAACAAAATGGCGTTTAATTCAGCCATGAGTAAAGTCCCACAAACCGTCGAGTGGTCTTTTGGAGTAATGATAAGACATTGGGCGATGGTGGGGTACAAAATGCAACTAAGGATCATGCTATAAAGTGTTGGCAAGGTAATCATGTGCGCAATGTTATTTACTAACTGCCACTGCTATTATGGCGGCAACCAAATCAGCGACTATTTCAACTCGGCACCACCACAACTTGAAGAGTATTTAGTTTCGTAAATAATCCGATACTACTTGTGCAAAATTTATTGATCAACACGAGAAGAAGGAAGACATATTTACAACTAATGTTTATTCATCTCGATCAATTGACGAATGAGTGTCACCATGTCTTCCGTTCGTTTGCGTTCCTCCTCTCGTTGTTGGATTCGTTCCATCCTATCCTTCTCACGCTATTGAAGCTCCATTTCAAATTTGTGTTTCTTGAATTTGAGCCGTTCGTGCTCCAACTCAATTTCACGATCTTGGGACTCAAAAATTGCTTTACGTTCCTACTTACCGCATCACTGTCAGTGAATCGTCTGGTTCGACCGACCGGCGGCGGCCACGATGCATCGCTTGTTCGCGGATGTGTGATGCTTTTGCTTCCTTTTTGCTTGCCTCTACCGTTGCTGTGGTCCGTTCGGCTTTGCGCTGTTCGGTGTGCTCCTTATACAACTGAAGCAGCTCGTCCAAAAGTACAATCTTGCCGTTTTCACCTTGTGCCACTCCCGACATGTACTTGGAAGTCTCTTGAAACTTTCGGTGCACACGGAGCAAGTGGAAAAAGCGACTTGATGCCTTCTTCCCGTCCAGTCCATTTATCGCAAACGATGGAGCCTGCAGCAGCTTGGCCGCAACGTTGTCCCAGGCTTTGGCAGTGCTCTTTGCGTGCTTGAAGGGAAGGTCATTATTGACCTGGGTGAGTAAGCTAAGGTCGTCCGCATCACTCCACCATTTCCGCGCTAGGGAGTCTGCGTCAGGCTGCACCTCATCAGCCATGATGGCGACACG